CACCATTTGGACCAATAAAGAGGCTTGATTTATGTTTAAATATACCACTTTGGATGCTGGGTGGAAAATAAACTGGACAGGGACAAGTGTGGAAGCAGGGAACATAATCTATCCCATTAGGATGGACTCATAAATCTATTGGATGCTTCTGGCTGCAAATAAAGAGAAATTCAGATTCAAGCTAGCAGATTTATCATCTCAAATAACTAAAAGTCCAGGGGTCAGGTGAGCTTTAAGTGTGGTACAATCAGCAGCTCAGTGACGTTATCGTGATCTTCATGTCTCTTTTCTTCACTGTCATTGGTGTTGTCTTCGTCGTAAGGCAATTTCATCTCATGATTTTAAGACAGCTACCAATAACCACTGGGGCTACATATTTTCATGTTCACATATTTCAATTTTAAGATATAAAACTTCTTTGGTAATTATAGATATAATTACTTTACTTGAGTCTAATTGTGCCCAGTTTGATCACTTGCCCACCATGGGGACAATATGAATCATCAGGAAAACTTCAAGTGCTGATTAACTTATGGTAATCCACCCCTGGAGCTACAAATGAAATCAGTTTCCATATGCTTGTATGGAGCAGAAATGGATACCTTAATAAAAGTAAAGTTCTTGGCTGGATGTGGTGGCTCACGCCTGTAATCCCAGCACCTTGGGAGGCTGAGGCAGGAGGATCACGAGGTCAGGAGTTCGAGACCAGCCTGGCCAACACAGTGAAACCTCGTCTCTACTAAAAATACAAAAAATTAGCTGGGTGTAGTGGTGTGAGCCTGTAATCCCAGCTACTTAGGAGGCTGAAGCAGAAGAATTGTGTGAATCTGGGAGGCAGAGGTTGCAGTAAGCTGAGATTGCACCATTGCCCTCCAGCCAGCCCAGGCGACAGTGCGAGATGTCTCAAAAAAAAAAAGTTCTTGGCCGGGCGCGGTGGCTCAAGCCTGTAATCCCAGCACTTTGGGAGGCCGAGACGGGTGGATCACGTGGTCAGGAGATCGAAACCATCCTGGCTAACACGGTGAAACCCCGTCTACTAAAAAATACAAAAAACTAGCCGGGCAAGGTGGCGGGCGCCTGTAGTCCCAGCTACTCGGGAGGCTGAGGCAGGAGAATGGCGTGAACCCGGGAGGCGGAGCTTGCAGTGAGCTGAGATCCGGCCACTGCACTCCAGCCTGGGCGACAGAGCGAGACTCCGTCTCAAAAAAAAAAAAAAAGTTCTTATAGGAAGAAAGAAAAGGGGACTGGTGATGCAGTAAGAACTCAATAATGTTTGCTATGTCTCTCTTCTCTAAGCTACACCATATTTAGGCTCTTTTAATTACAGTGAGGCAAAGCATAAAATAACAAAATGGCTGGGTGTGGTGCTCACACCTGTAATCCCAGCACTTTGGGAGGCTAAGGCAGGAGGATTGCTTGAAGCCAGGAGTTTGAGACCAGACTCTACAAAAATTAAACAAACAAACAAAAAAAATAAACACCAAAACACCAAGACCAATCAAAGAGTTTTATACTCCTTTTATTCTCTATCAAATGCAATTCTAAGCAATGTCCAGGTACTATCCAAACAGCTTCCAGCCCTCTGCCAAAGGTGGAATTCTTCAATCATGTGAATAGTACTGAGTCCTGATGTTTGTGTGGCTTATCTCGCCAGGGGGAGGGTAGATACAGAGAAGTTGTTCTTTTACCCTATGGCCAAACCTCTGCAAGGACAATAGGGCAAGTGAATTTGCAGAAAAATAGATGATCTAGTCTTTTATTATTTTCCCAGGATGAAGCTGGGGAAAGGGGTTGTAGGTTTCCTTTATCAATGTGGTTATGAAGGGGCATGAAAGCTTGGAATTTTTCATTTAAGAGTAATAGTCTAATCCCAGCACTTTGGGAGGCCAAGGCGGGCAGATCACGAGATCCGGAGATGGAGACCATCCTGGCCAACATGGTGAAACCCCATCTCTACTAAAAATACAAAAATTAGCTGGGCATGGTGGCACACGCCTGTAGTCTCAGCTACTCGGGAGGCTGAGGCAGGAGAATCACTTGAATACGGGAGGTGGAGGCTGCAGTGAGTCGAGATCACGCCACTGCACTCCAGCCTGGCGACAGATTGAGACTCAAAAAAAAAAAAAAAGTAGTAGCTTTGCTAATCCATTATTTCCATAGATAGAAAAAAAAAATTGGTCAATGGGCAAGTTGAGGAATCTCTGGCCCATGTAAGTATGTTTCCTAGGTCTCCACATGAAAGATGGGAAACTACAGCAGTACGAGCAAGAAATCCGGTGGCTTCTAGGATAATGATAAGAAAGATGGAAGAGATGTGGACTAATTCAAAATGTATTTTGGAATAGAATCATAATGACTGGATGCTATATCAGATCAAACAATAGAAAGAAAGGAGCGAAGCCAGGCGCGGTGGCTCAAGCCCTGTAATGCCAGCACGTTGGGAGGCAAAGACCGGCGGATTACGAGGTCGGAGATCGAGACCATCTTGGCTAACTATGGTGAAACCCCGTCTCTACTAAAAAATACAATAAAAAATTAGCAGGGCGTGGTGGCGGGCGCCTGTAGTCCGCAGCTACTCGGGAGGCTGAGGCAGGAAATGGCGTAAACCGGGAGGCGGAGCTCGCAGTCAGCTGAGATGGGGCCACTGCACTCCAGCCTGGGCGACAGAGCAAGACTCCGTCTCAAAAAAAAAAAGAGAAAGGAGAGAATAAATGACTCCTAGATTTCTGGTTGAAACATTTAAGTAGATTGTGGTGCCATTTCCGGAGACAGGAAAGATCATAGGAAGTGCAGGTTAGTAAATATAGTCAAGAATCTCAATTCAAATAACGTAAATTTGAGACGCATTAGAGATCTCTAAGTGGAAACACCAATAAGCAGTTGGATAGACTAATATTAAGAGTCCTAACGAGAGGGAGACCTGGCATGGAGACACAGAAGATATAGAAACCGCCCAGCCCCTCTCCCTACTCTCCCATCCATAGCTCACTTTTGAAAGTGAGGGCACACTTCTGCATGAGAGACTGCATGGCTTTAATAGTCTCATATAACAGGGACAGCCAGAGGAGGAAGTCTGTATATCAAGGCATATGTTGCCTCACCCACAGGAGCTCCAGCTTGTGACCATGGCCAGACTTTGCCTTGCTTCATCAACTCCTGTTCAGCAGACCGAAGTAACTTTTCACCATCCCCAGGCTATGACGGCAAAAGGGCTTTGTATATACTATTATTATATAAATTGTATATACTATTATTATACAAATTGTATAATTTTTTTAAGTTGTATTTCTGGATTTTCAGTTGTTAAACAGAATTTATTTTCTATTTTGACCTTGAATCCTGAGATTTTTTTTTTTTTGAGACAAGATCTCACTCTGTTACCTAGGCCGAGTGCAATGGCGCGATCACAGCTCACTGCAGCCTCTACCTCATGGGCTCAATCGATCCTCCTGCCTCAGCTTCTTGAGTAGCTGTGACTACAGGTATATGCCACCATGCCTGGCTAATTTTTCTATTTTTTGTAAAGACAGGGTCTCACTATGTTGCCTAGGTTGATCTTGAACTCCTGGGGTCAAATGATCCACCCACCTTGGCTTCCCAAAGTGCTGGGATTACAGGCATGAGCCAGCAGCCCCTGATCACATCCTGAGATTTTCTAAGTTCACCTATTTATTATGATCATTTATCTATAGAATCTTGTTTCCTATATATACAATCATATTGTCTGTGAATAATGGTTTTATTTCTTCCTATCATTTTTTCATTTTTAAAAACTGAGACATAATTTACATACTATAAAATTCACCCTTTTAAAGTGAACCCTTTAGTGGTTTTTATTTAGTGTATTCAGAAGGTTATGCAACTATCACCACTCTCTAATTCTAGAAAAATTTCATCATCCAAAAAAGAAACTCTGTACTCATTAGCATTGACTCCTTACAGTTCCTGGCAATCATTAATCAACCATTTCCTGAGGCATCAATTTTGCCAAAATTCATTTACTAAATAATCATTGTGTAGTTATTATATGCTATGCACTGTTTTAGGCATTAAGGATTCAATATGAAACAAGACGAAGTTCTTCCTTTTGAGGAGAAAAATACAACTTAAAACAGTGTTTTGACAATAAAAGAAGCTCAGATATATAATGGATTAGGATGTAAAAATGCATACATTTTTACAATAAAATATGGAACTTCAAGGTAATTTCCTGTTGGACCACATACTGCAAGCTCTGCCCCAGCCCTGTGGTGATATGCTTTCATTCTCCTTCCCGGCTGCAGCCAACATGAGCACTTTATAGGAAAAGGCTGAGAAACACTGCTATAATGTTCATCTGTACAATGAAGGGATATACATACAATGATTACAGGTTGAATCAGTAAACCAAAGGCTTGATTTCTAGCTTAGGCATAAATATTGCCCAATTATTTATTAATTATAAATTGGTATACAATGGCTTCATCCATCCACTGAACAAATATTGAGTGGGTTTCTCATTAATACATGACGAAAGACATAAAAATATGTAAGATACATGGTCCTGATCTTAAAAGCTTTACTCAAATCACTAGATATATAAGAAAATATAATAATATATGAGAGTTTTGAATCACACATAACAGGCAAATTGCTTCTGGAAAATAAGAAAATTCTTCCATTATGCAATTTGTCCATTTTGTAAACAAAATGAAACACTTTATAAAAATGTTCAGCCTGGTGTGGTGGCTCACAGATTGCCTGAGCCCAGGAGTGTGAGCCTGCAATGAGCTGTGATTACACCTTTGTATTCCGGCCTGGGCAACAGAGAGAGACTATATCTCTAAAAATGAATAAATAATAATTAAATAATAAATAAAAATAAATAAAATACTCATGTCAGCCTGGAACTTACACTCGGATCACCTGTCTCTAGTATCTGAAAATATACCTAGATATCAAAAAAGGAGTTGAATTAATGTATTATCCAAAGTAAATTACAAGTAACTGTACTAACTTACTTTTCAGTGCCTCATTCATTTGTGCCTTGTGGTTAGCTGCATGATACCAGGTGATCTCAGCGCCATCTTCTGCTGTAATCTGGCTATTTCTCAGAAAATACTCCAGTATATTTTCACTCCAAGATCCTAAAATAACAGTATTTACATGTAAATTAATATTGTTTTTTATAGGATAAAATTTTTAAAATTAATTTTGTTGTATATATTTAAGATACACATATGCTGTTATGTGATATAGATAGATAGTAAAAAGGTTACTATAATGAAGCAAATTAACATATCCATCATCTCACATATCTATTTTCTCTGTGTGTGGCAAGAACAGCTAAAATCTCATTTAACATGAATCCCTTATATACAGTACAATCTGGAGTCCTCATGTTACACATTAGATCTTGACTTGTTCATCTTTTTTTTTTTTTTTTTTAATTTGAGAGCAGGTACTGTTTATTAACCAACCAACTTAGAAAAATAATCATGGTAGACATCTTAGTTCATTCTTCTAATAAGCCTGTTGATCTGGTCCTCCCTGCTGCCAGCATCTCTCCCTTCTACAAAATGGGTGGTCTCTCAGCTAGGTGCAGTGGCTCACACCTGTAATCCCAGAATTTTGGGAGGCTGAGGCAGGCAGATTACTTGAGGTGAGGAGTTCGAGACCAGCATGGCCAACATGGTGAAACCCCGTCTCGAACAAAAATACAAAAAAAAAATTAGCCAGGTGTGGTGGCACACGCCTGTAATCCCAGTTACTCCAGAGGCTGAGGCAGGAGAATCAATTGAACATGGGAGGCGGAGGTTGCAGTGAGCTGAGATCACGCCACTGCACTCCAGCCTAGATGACAGAGCAAGACTCTGTCTCAAAAATAAAATAAAATAAAATAGAATAAAATAAAATAAAAAATGGATGGTCTTTTTCTCCATTCCACCTCATGAATAAGATAATTTGAAGGCCCACAGGAAGTTATTTGCTTCTCTGAAGTGTTTTCCAACAGTATAGATCTCATGAATCAGATCTTCCATGTAGATGATGCCGTATTTACCAAGAGATCGAGCAATCAAAGTGTTATCTGTTAAAACAATTCGCTTCTTATTGATTTTGCCATAACCACACTTGTAGATTACTGACTTCAGATTTGGGTATCCCCAAGCAGTATATGGTTCTACAATCCTCAGCATGTTAACTGAAGCCTGTTGAGCTTCACAAAGGTTCCAATGAAGATTTGATGAAGGCGAAGAAGCTGCAACACCTTTTGGACCTTTGGGCTCACACCACTGACACCTCTGATCCTGAAGACAAATGCCAATTTGGGTTTTGCAGGTACACAGAAGTTGCCAGCTTTTCTTGCCATCCCTGCCATTCGAATTTCAGTTCTGTGTATCTGCCTATATTCCTTGAGACAGTGCTTTGCTTTTTCATAGATAAGCTTCCTCCTTGCCTTTTGAAGCATCTTTTGGTCAAACGTCTTTCTCAGGCACTTGATCTTCAGCTCTGCGAAATTCCTTTGCTTTTTCTTAAGGGTTTCTGGCACAGCAGGAACCTTCTTGTCTTCTATACCTTCCACGGTTCCAGCCGGAAAAAGAGGCAACTTGCTCATCTTACATATCTGTTCTGTATCCTCTAACCTACATCTCCCCATTTCCTCTGTGTCCCTCCTCCCCGTAGCCATTGTTTTGTCATCTATTTCTGTTATATTTGATTTTTTAATTCCAGATATAAGTGAGATCATGCACTATTTTTCTTTCCGTGTCTGGCTTATTTTACTTAGCATAATGTCCTCCAGGCTCATCTATGTTGTGGAAAATGGCAAGTTCTCATTCTTCTTTAGGACTGAGTAATATTCCATTTTATCTGTGTACCACCGTTTATTTATTCACTCATCTATCAACAAACACTTGTTGTTTCCATACCCTGGCTACTGTAAATAATGCTGCAATGGACATGGGGGTGCAGATATCTTTACAAAGTGGTGATTTCATTTCCTTTGGGTATATGACCGGGAAAGGGATTGCTGAGTTATGGGGTGGAAAAAAAATTTAATAAAGCACAGACAAGATATTGAGGGATAATAACAAAGTAGTTAGACTGGGAAAAATATAAGATTTTAAAAATAGAGAACAAGTATTATGATGTGGCAAGTATGTAATATAAACATGTTATATATTATAATTAGTAGACATATAGGATAGTCTGAACATTAGAAGCATAAGAATGTAGGAAGAAACTAAAACTCAAGTGGATATTTAAAAGCTGGAAATTACATATGATGTTCTCTACAATCCTGGTCCCAGAAATATAAGGAAAACTGAGGTAAAGTCAAAGCTATATTTAAAATTCTAAGTTTTACTCACTTGTTTTCTCTACCTGAAGCCCCATTCTACATTTATATTAACAATTTAATATTTAAATTGCATATTTTACTGCATATCTACCTTCAGATTATTCTGAGCAACATCTATATGAGTGAGCAAGTAATCTCTTGAATTAGGATTCATAAGTTTATCTAGCATGTGCAATATACGTAATTCTCATATCCTTCAACTACTTTTTGGTATAACACATTTTCTCTTGATTAAGCATTAAAATTTGTGAGTTAACAAAGACTAAGATAAGTGGTAGCAAAAATATCTGAACCCAGATCCACTCCATACTATATCATAACATATAGGAAGAAAATGCTGAACAAAAGGTGTCCATAATTTTAGCTCCCTAATCCTTGTTCATGCTCCGAACGTTTATTAAGAGCCTAGCAAGTGGCTGCAAAGTCCCCAAGCATGAGAATCTTTCCTCTGTTAATTATTTGTTTGTTAACTCTGCCTAACAACAGTTAAAAATCTGAAACTGCTTCTTCCTTTTTTGTTTGTTTTTTTCCCATCTGCCATCTGTGGTGGAGCTGCCACCAAAACGCAGATTTCGTAAAATCCCTTCCGGGGAAGACCACCACCCTCAAGGTTGAACCCTCAGACACAATAGAAAAGGTAAAGGCCAAAATCTAGGAATTCCTCCTAATCAGCAAAGACGGATCCTTGCTGGCCAGCAACTGGAAGATGGACGTACTCTGTCTGACTACAACATTCAAAAGGAGTCTACCCTTTATCTTGGGTTGAGACTTTGTGGTGGTACTAAGAAAAGGAAGAAGTCTTACACCACTCCCAAGAATAATAAACACAAGACAAAGCAGGTGAAGCTGGCGGTCCTGAAATACTACAAGGTGGATGAGAATGGCAAAATTAGTCACCTTTGTCGAGAGTGCCATTCAGATGGTGCTGGAGTGTTTATGGCAAGCTACTTTGACAGACATTATTGTGGCAAATGTTGTCTGATTACTGCTTCAACAAACCAGAAGACAAGTAATTGTGTATGAGTTAATAAAAGACATGAGCTAACATCTTTTTTAAAACCCCCCCAAAAAACCAAAAACCCAAAACCTAAAAATGGCTATCGGAAACTGCTGATAAGATATTGAGAAAAAGTAAAATTTGATCAGAGAATGGAGGGGCATATAAAGACAAATTCTAACTAACATACGAGGGACTTAGCAACCACTTCTAATACTGGGCTGCAGAATTTAAAAAAAAAAAAGACAGTTAGGTGGAGGATTCACTATCCCCAAAGCAGTCTCCCACTCAAAACACATGGCCCTATTTGGCACATATAATAGAGTCATAGACCTTTCATACTAAGATGGCAACACATGGCCATCATTCTTTAAAATATTAAGGTAGCCATTTTAGAAGGCACATTATCGATTGGCTATAACAAATGTCTGACAATAGGAAAATAATTAAATCAGTACATATGCATGATAGAATATATGACTAATGTGGCTGTTAAAAATGAAGGTTTTCCCAGCACTTTGGGAGGCCGAGATGGGCGGATCACGAGGTCAGGAGATTGAGACCATCCTGGCTAACACAGTGAAACCCAGTCTCTACTAAAAAAATACAAAAAACTAGCTGGGCGAGGTGGCGGGCGCCTGTAGTCCCAGCTACTCGGGAGGCTGAGGCAGGAGAATGGCGTGAACTCGGGAGGCGGAGCTTGCAGTGAGCTGAGATCCAGCCACTGCACTCCAACCTGGGCGACAGACCGAGACTCCGTCTCAAAAAAAAAAAAAAAAAAAAAAAAAAAGAAGGTTTTGAGATACACCAAATGATTCAGAGATCTGATAAGCATGACGTTACCAGAAAAACCTAAATGTTGGTTAATGGTTCATATTGGATATTTCCAAAGCACTTTTCAACTACACATACTGCATTCAGAATTTTTATAAAGGCAGCCTACAAAGTAATAATAAAATATCAGGACTCTAGAATTTAAAAACATTTAAAGTAAAAAGTTTTCCTTACCCTTTTACTAAGTGAAATTGTTAGTTTGTATTTAAGCCACAACTGTATATATCTTAAAACTTAAAAGAGGATCCAATTACCTATGATCTAGGGTCTTAGTATTATTATTTAAACAGGCTGGAACTCTGAAAACAGGACCAAGAGAAAGGCAAAAATAGTTGCAACTTTTTTAAGATTGAGTTTTTGAGCAGTTTATTTATTTATTTATCTATTTATTTTGAGACAGTCTTGCTCTGTCACTCAGGCTGGAGTGCAGGGGGATGATCTCAGCTCACTGCAATCTCCGCCTCCTGCGTTCAAGTGATTCTTGTGCTTCAGCCTTCCGAGCAGCTGAGATTACCGGCATGCATGCGCCATCACATTGGCTACTTTTTGTATTTTTAGTAGAAATGGTGTTTCACCATGTTGGCTAGGCTGATCTCAAACTCCTGGCCTCAAGCAGTCAGCCACCCTCAGTCTCCCAAAGTGTTGAGATTACAGGCGTGAGCCACCATGCCTGGCCTTTTAAGCAGTTTTCATTTACAGAAAAAAATTAGGCTGGGCATGGTAGCTCATGCCTGTAATCCCAGCACTTTGGTCGGTCGAGGTGGGCAGATCATCTGAGGTCAGGAGTTCAAGACCAGCCTGGCCAATACGGTGAAACCCCTTCTCTACTAGAAATACACAAATTAGCAGGGTGTGGTGGCTCACGTCTGTAGTCCCAGCTACTCAGGAGGCTGAGGCAGGGTAATAGCTCAAATCCAGGAGGCAGAGGTTGCAGTGAGCCGAGATCATGCCACTGC